TGAACCTACGCCTGCACACACACCCAGCTCAGCAATTATCAGACCAATTCTAGTTATGAATCCTTAATTGATATCCAAATACTGAAGCAGCCTAGTTGTATTGTGAGCTCCCTGGAAGAAAACACCACCCATAGCCAAGAGTGATCAGCTCCTATTGCCTAGTCTAAAGAAAACCCTTGAGTCATCTCCTATAAACAAATCTAGTGTTCTCCCTTGAACCGTTGTATTTTCTCTACAAAAATCCCTACTCACCCTCTAGTCAGGATTCTGATGCTTAGATCCAAACTATGCATCAGTTCCACTGGAACTCCATCTCCTGACTGATCGTGCTGGGGGCTCTGCCTTTCTCCAGCATTCAGGACCCTCAGCTATCACCATCATCTGGGAACCCTGACCAGTTCAAGCCTCATGGAGTGGGTGAGACCCCGCCCCACTCTTTCTCTCTCTCTCTCTCTGTTTTCCTTTCTACCTTAGGTATTAACCTTTAATAATGTATGGTTATGTTGGTTTAGTCCTCCTTGTGTAGTTATTACTATTACTCAATAAATAACTTTTATGGTTAACTTGGTTGCTTCTCTCTCTCTTGCTAAACTTTACTCTTTTGTGTTTTTAGCTTCCCCCATTCACTCTACAGCAATGCTTCTTCTATCTAAGCTAAAGATCCCTGCAGCGCCCAAAATACTATGGGGTTTGCTCATCGAGTAGGTTATTGCCAGTACAATTGTGTTGGGGGAGTGGGGATAGGGACATGCTGAATTTGGGACGCATAAGGGTAACAGCTTGAAAGTGCTGCTTGACCTAGTCCATGGAGCCCAGGGGCATATAAGGAAAGACAGCTTGAAAGTGCTGCATCCTCCAGCCCAGTGAGTCCAGAAACATAAGGGGTCAGCCTGACAGTGCTGATTGACCCGGTCCGCTCAGACTTGCTCTGTTAATGTACATGTGGGTGTGTGGGTGTTCATCCGGTTCTGGGGTGGGAGTAACCCAGCCCTAGGGACCCTAGGTCCCGCAGGATAGCTCCATTGGGAGGGGACTTGCAGAAGGGAGAAGTAGAGCTCCAG